ACGAAAAACAATAAAGAAAAAACAAAGATTATAATCTGTATAATCTGTGCTAGAATTTTGAAGTTACTCAAAATTCTATCACTAACTTCAATATTCTATTGCTAAATGTCCCTAAGAATGAGAATGGGCAATTTTTTTATAAACATTCTGCGAATCTTGAGAACACTACTACATATATTGGTGCAAGAAAAAGTTATATTAATTTGTAGTGTATTGTATATCGATGCCATCAAGAACATTACAATTGCCTTGATAAAACAGTAACTTGAAAACTAGGCCAGCCTCTAATTACATAGGAAGTATAATTACCTTCGATTAGAAACATCAATACGAAGAGAGACGATACACGATCCACGTTATTAAATATGTAATATTTTTATTATTTCTCTTGTTCCCCCATATTAAAAAGATGAGTATGCTGAAGGGTGTATTTATATTATAGTAAGAATATTATACTAGCATACTTGTTATTAGGTTATTATAGATTAGTAGATACAAATCGTGTATTATTAAAGGGAATGTTCTTAATTAACATTTTATAACCATTATTGTATATTATATCGATTGGTAATACACGGTGTATTAAGGTGGAAGTGAAGCCAATGTATTGAAATACGGTTGATTAAAATAGTTCATACATGATGTCCCAGTTCAAACAAAACAAGGCAATTTAAAGGCATTTCTGGTGTGAAAAGGACAAAACGGCGAAACACGTCAACTTTATTTTCGAAGGGGAAATAAGATGCGACTATTTTTGAAGCCCCTAATTCAAACCCCACGCGGTGGTGACATCCACCCTTAAAATCTTAAATGTAATGCGGGGTCTCGAGTAGGAAAACATCGACTGCTCACTGGAAATTGACGAAATTGACTTGAATTGTCCAGAAAAACTATGCTGGACTTATCAGATCTTGATAACACATCTCGAATATAATCACCTATTCTATCAGTTTTTAACTTTAGCGTCACAAGTTAAGTATATAATACTACTACTACTGACTACTGCCATTACTCGCTGACGAGTATTAGAAACGCACCAGAAGATGGTTACTCAGGGCGTCTTCTTTCGTGAGCTTTTCTGGGACTGCACTTTTCGCACTCTGGAAATTCAAAAATCTCATTACTTTGTTTTTTCCTTTCTTTTTGGTTGCCGTTGTTAATCGAGTTTACAATTCTTCCCCATTGCGTTCTATTGTGCGTTGCTTCCTCGCACTGATTCTGCATGCGGTAATTGTTGCATATACGGTTTTCGGCTATTTTTGGACTATATAAGGAAATTTTTATATACTCACATTCTACTGTTCTTGGAGATTGCTAGTATGCTGGGGGAGAAGAGAAATTGTGTTTCTTTAAGTATTTTTTCAACCAAACAAACTTACGGGACCGGGGAGCGAATAGGGGTGCTGGGCGGGTTAAAAACAATCTTCTGATTAAAGATACTCATAACACAACCATTTTACAATCCTTTAATTAAGCTTTAACGTAAAATTTCTTCAAAAAAACTATGAAGAACTGTTTCATTCAGAAATCATTGGCAGGTTACATTGAAGGATATGCTGACAGTAATGAAGGTTGAATTTTGACAAGCATTGTGAATTGATGCATAGTTGCCAAATGGGCTAGTAAATTGTCCGGAATTTCATGCATCCTTTTTTTTTCAAATGGAAAAAGGACGTCATAGGTTTTAAATTTTTTTTATTTATTGTTTTACTTACTTTAGTTTAACATATTGGCTAAATCGCCACCAGGAATGAAAAAAAAAAATGTAAACACACTGAGCGGTTTGATTGGTTTAGTTTTGGGTTGGTTTGGTTTTGGTTGGTTTTGTTTTGGTTGATTTTGGATGGTTTGGTTTAGATTGGATTGGTTTTGTTTGGTTTGATTCTTTGTTTTTTTTTCGTATGTTAGAAAAGTTTTTCTCTTATTTTACCAAAATTGCATTTTTCCTCAACTCAAGTTCTTTATGTTTGTCTTAACAGCATTAGAATAGACACTTCATTTTATAGAAAATTTCTTAATTTTGAGGACCATAAAGTGAAACGGGTCCCAAAGAGCACTAAAAATATAATAAAATATTTTTTAATCTAATGAAAAAGAAGAAAACACAAAACAAAACAAAACACAAGAGTGAAACCAAAGCAATCAGAAAATTCAGTGGGACTGGCAACATTGCTTTCCCTTCTGTCGGTGTCATGTCAAATCAAGTGTTAAAATTCTAATAAAGTCAAATATGTGTTAAATATTAAATTAAAATATTTTGAAATTCCGTTCATAATCTATATTTTCTCAATTTTTTTTTAAATGGAAAATGCGATTTTTCTATATTTGTATGTCATGTTTTACCCAGTTTGTACGCTTTTACCCCGCCCAGCACCCCTGTTCGCTCCCCGGTCCCGTAAGTTTGTTTGGTTGAAAAATACTTAAAGAAACACAATTTCTCTTCTCTCCCAGCATATTTACAATCTCTAAGGTCAATAGAATGTGAGTATATAATTTTTTTTCCATATAATACAAAAAATAGCCGAAAACCGTATAGGCAAATGTTACCCTGCATGCTTATCCCCTTTAAGTTTTCGTGGAAAAAAGGGCCATACATGTCTGTCTATTGACAGTATTTGTTATAAATTACAAAAATGCATTTCGGGGAGACAACTTAAGGTATGTTGACATTAGATGATTTTGCACTGTTACTTGATCAGTTTTTATTTAAAAATAGATGCAGTTTTTGTTAAATTACTTAAAATCGGCTTGTCCAAAATTGTTCAAATTTAGCACGTGTATTCAGCATACGTAGACCTTTAAAAATCCTATTTACGACTTTGCTGTAAAATTAACAGAGGAGCAAGTATTTGAACAGTTTAAAATTTGCATTTTCCTACGTTACCAAAACCGATGCATCACCCGGTATATTTTCATTTGTTTAAAGTTATTTGAATTTTAAAATGCATTCAACCGGATTAACATTATATTGTGTTTCTGCATCTACGAGTGAATTGCTAATTTCTAACAGATCTAATAAAATCAATATTCACATACAGAGTAAATACAGGGTGATCGGAATTATATTCCGGAAACTTTGGCAGCATATTCTGCAGACATAAATAAGTAAAAAAGTTCGTATAAATGTATGTCCTAAAATGCTTAGTTTCGGAGATACAGGGTGTAGAAATTTCATTTTTATTTAGATTTTTTCCTAATAATTACTGAAGTAACGCCAATATTTCGATGAAAATTGGTGTCTGGGAGTTTTTTGACACGAGAAATTTGATTTTGATATCAATATGACTTCTATTTTTAGGGGGCGCCACCTACATATGTTTTAACTCTTTTGAAGAATAATAACTTTTCGTCCGTACCTGTATAAAACTACTGAGTGGAAAAATATACATTTCCGTGACTTTTTACCTAAAAAATGTCTCTTGGTAAAAATCGCTACGAGCAACCGTTCTCAAGATATTTAAAATGGAAATAGTCAATACAGTACGTCTGTCCGTTCTGTAGCTATGGGGTATCCGTGAGAGGGGAAACGATATTCTCTCGATATTTTTCGTAAAAAAATAGATGACGCGTCCCATCAATAAAAATTCAACAAATTTGCATGCAGCCAATAAAATGAGAGGGCGGAGCGATTTGCGGTGACGCACTCGTCAAATCGACGTATAAAATATATTGCTGTTTATTTAAATATTTTTTGTCCGCACTCCTTTCATAGACACAGATCCAGCAGATGTACTGTACATGTCATTATTGACAAAAAATAAACACGTTGATATACAGTTCGTCTGCTGGATCTGTGTCTATGAAAGGAATGCGGACAAAAAACATTTAAATAAACAGCAGTATATTTTATACGTCGACTTGACGAGTACGTCACCGCAAATCGCTCCGCCCAGTCATTTTATTGGCTACTTGCAAATTTGTCGAATTTTTATTGATGGGACCCGTCGTCTAATTTTTTACGAAAAACATCGAGAGAATATCGTTTCCCCACTCACGGATACCCCGTAGCCTCAGAACGGACAGACGTACTGTAGTTAGAGATAGTTATTTGACTGAAATAATAAATTTGGAAATGTTTTATTTTTTTAAAACAGTTACAGTTTCTGTTGAACTTTTGGCACAAATCTATGATTTCAGTCTAATAAGGGTGTTAGTCAACATGTTTAATTTATGTCAATGATGATAGGTCTTGATAATTTCGATTCCAAATATCTCGAGAACCATTACTTGTAGCGACTTTTACCAAGAATCATTTTATAAGTAAAAAACGTCGTAAATTTATATTTTTTTACTCCACTAGTTTCAAAATATGTAGATGGCGCCCTCTACAAGTAGGTGTTAATGTTCTTTGATATCAAAATCAAATTTCTCATGTTAAAAAACTCTCAGACACCAACTTTCATCCAAATATTGACGTTACTTCATAAATTATTTAGAAAAAATCGAAATAAGTATGAAACTTGTACACCTTGTATCTCCGAAACTAAGCATATTAGGACATACATTTATAAGAACTTTTTTACCTATTTTATCTGCAGAATACGCTGTAGAAGTTTTCGAAATACAGTTCGGACCACCCTGTATAATTTTTATATTTTAAGTAAATTAAATTTAGTTTTAAATCAATCATTACTAAAGATTAAAATTTAAATATAACATAAATTAGAATCTGCTTAGCATAACAAATAAAAAAGAAACAGAACTTAAAAAAAAATATTTTTTATTACCTACTTAATTAAAATTTGTTACAGATGGAAAATTGAATTATAATTATTTATAAGAAAACGTTAAAATTAGATATTTTTTATGTTAATAGTTGTGATGTATTATATTGACATAAGGAACCAATGTAAATAAAGAAGTGTTCATCTCTGTAAATATCGTTTCTAATCCCAATTCTAGCTTTCATTTCTTAATAAAAGAAATTGACATCAAGCGCTTCATAACCTATGATAAAAAAAACATTTGCCAAATAATCTTCTATTGTTCGAATTGCTAACCTGATTTTTTATAGCTGGCGGTCAATTCCAACGTTCTCGAGGTCTGATCTGATCGCAGGACCCTCTATTAGCGTTAAAAATTTCGTTTGAAAGTGTCGCTGGTGTCGTGACCAACTTCCGGCAATTTTTCACTATTCGCGTAAATTTTGCTGGCGCGAAAATTTGAAATTTTCCGGCTTACCGAACCGACTGCTGAACAAGCCTCGGTTAGGAAACAACTGAAGCCGAGCACACTTCACCGGATTGATAGGACGCTGCCGGTCCGGGGCCACGTTGCCAAGATTTCCTGCTGCGAATGACCGCTCAGGAATAACAAAATCAAGGGTGTACTAGTGCGTTCGGCTATGCGCGCAAATTTTCAAAATATTTTGAGGAACTAATTTACTTGTCATGTCCTATTCTTTATACACTCAAATGCAAAAAAAATGCAACGGATAAATTTTTGGTCAAATTTAAAGTGTTATATTTTTGTTATTTTTAGCTCTATTTTCATGAACTTTTCAGCTGTATATAATTATATCAACTTTAATTTGTAAACTTAGTTTTTTTATAAACTTTAGTATTTGGCATATTATACAGGGTTAAACGAGGAGTTGTTTTTACCTTAAATTTAAAACACCCTGTGCAATAATTTCGTGTGTAAATTTTCCTAAAATATAATTTTACGGTCAGAACCATGTCTCCTGAACATTTTGTTTTTTGGATCATGTCAATACATGCCTGGGTTAATTTTTAAGAGCGAAATGAACTTCCCAACTAGCAAATATAGTTCCTAGTCCTTTTTAAAATGTCACTGCCCCTAAAGTATAGTTCCTAGGCGCACTCTGCCACTTAAAATGTTACTCTATGAGGAATAGTCACTTGGAAGTATATTTCGAGAGTGACCGGTTAGTCCCTACCTACCATAAAAGTGGAAAATAAACACGCCGATTGCAAGTGGCAAACATGTAATTTAAAGAAGTGTTTGGAACTACCCGAATCTTCGAATATGACACCATAAAAGACCAAAAACTTTATAGTAACTTTTCAAAGTAGAGGTTACCAACAAGTGCTACCACAATGCCTCCATTAAGTTTTTGTTACTTTATAGTAACAATTTAAGTTACGGGGTAGTCGCGGCTACGACTCCTAGTTTCTTTTAATTTATAGTAACATTGAAAGTAGCAAAATGGTTACTGCTACATTCCTAGGTCACTATAAAGTAGCCGTCGCTCATCCATTGCCACTAAAAAGTCACGGGGGTCAAAAACGGCTACTTTATAGTGACCGTAACACCCTAATAAATGTAATTGTCTCAGATTGCATCGTGTGCTGCTCTGTTTTAGTGTTTTCTTTAACTTGCTTTTAAGCTTTATTAAAATTTTGTAAAATCCCCAAGGTAAAAAAAATAGATGTTCTAATACTTTCTACCGAAGAATTCAACAAAAGGAATCACTGCGAACCGATGTATAAACATCAGAAACAAAAACTACATCTTTCTATAATCCTACTGATGAACATCATAAATCAGGTAACGACTGAGACATTTTTGAAGCTGTTTCTGTAGATGAGTGTAGTGTTAGTTCATCTGAAACTGAATCTCAGAGGAGAACTAATTTGAGAACCAACAATATAAAACAAGAGCTAAAAGAGTGGGCGTTAAAATACTCTATACCTCATGTAGCTCTGAATAATATATATATATATATATAGAAACACTAATAATAGAAAATGCACAATGAGTAAAAAATAACTTCAAAGGACAAGGCGGAACGTTATAGTGGCACCAATGGAATGTATAGTCGCCACCACCGCCATCGGTGTAGCAACGCTCCAATTAAGTGGCAATTTGGTGGCTCAGGGAACTTTCTTGGAAAATCACTTTATGGTTCCAAAGAATCGTTGACCATGTAGTTCCAAAAAAGTTATTGTTTCTATAAAGTCGCCTTTGGATAGCTACAATGGTCACTTTATCAATCCGAAGATTTTAAAGGCCCAAACGGGTAGGGTTGGCCTAATATGTTATTGTTCCCGGTACTTTGTGGAAGCATATGGAACTATAAAGATTTTTTCGGATTAAACGGCCATATTTCTTTCATGAATTTTTAGACGAACAGCCAAATGGCTCAAACATTATGCGTTTTTAAGCTAAATATACCTAGATTAAAGCTTTTTTGCTTAGTTATTTTGATATTTCTGACGGTGGACTAATATTTTAAAGTCTGACTGCGGTTTCAAGCAAATTATTATTATTTTTTAATTACAAACATGAGTTTTTATTCCAAATAATATAGTAATTTGAATTATTTTGAGAGGCGCTCGAAAATGTTGTTATATAAACCCACTATTTTATTTCGTAAAGTTGATTGCGTTCTGGAATTTACCTAAAAAAGGCGTTAAAATCGCACGGTAAATAACAAATTAAATAACGAAAAAATAATAATGGCTTCCATAATTATTTTCCATCATGACATTTATTTTTATGAAATGAGAAATTGCATGAAGAGGTCGCTGCGAATAAAGTTCAACAGTTTAACGAAAGTTCCACCTATCGGTGGATAACACTTGGCTGCCACGAACCCGCGACTAGGCAGCTTCGTAACGGATAAGTCGCATTCAGCAGTAGGCTACTTTATAGTAACACATCGTAGTAACTCTTTTAGTGGCAAAAACTACCCAAGACACTACCCGGCTACTCAAAATCTTTCCCCATTTTGGTCGCAGTTACTTAGCAGCTACGAATATACAACCGATAGTCACTACGAATATACAAGTATCAACTATGAATATACCAACTACGAATATACAAGCCGATGGTCACCGCCCACTTTGTAGTGGCTTTGATAGTAGCAGTTACGTATCTGCCACTATAAATGCTAGTTGGGTTGCCACCAACAATTTGCATATTTTTTTAATTATCATTACATTTTGATGTTATTTTTGCAATATGGCGAGGTGGTTTTGGTGATTATTATGAACCATATACTACTATGACCTGCCCATCATATTCAACGTTTGGTAAATGCATGGCAGTAGGGTTAAAGGTCGTGAAGCAGTGCCAGCCGGTTTAAATGAACTTCGCTTGGTTCTTAAAGAAGAATGGGAAAGCGTAACGCAATATGATATGTGCAGCCTCAATGCCAGTATTAACGGACGTATACAGGCAGTTGTAGCAACCAAGGGAGACATACAAAGTATTAGGGTATTTTTACAATTTTAGTATTGAAAATACTTCTGGGCGCGTTTATATGGGACCCATCTTTGAAAAAGCGACATGCTAGATGCGATGTGGTACGGCCGAGTTCAATAACCTGCCTAATCATCAACTTGTCAACACGTAAGAGTTTAGCCGGCGTTGCAAGGACGTTCTAGGGCCGAGGCCGAAATGAGGTCTTATCAGTGGGCCAACTATTTTATGGATATGGATATTTAGTATGGTACCAGCGGATAAAAAGGCCAATATTATAAAAAGATTATGCGTCAAGGCATATGGATTGTTAGGTACAGTTTGACTATTTTAATCTTTCTGTATGCGAAGCAAAGGGCAAATTATACATGAAAGAGCGGACTCACATAAATAATAAATTTAGACTAATGCAATATTTTTTCTCGGCGCATAATAACTCGGGTCTCATCGGATCTGCTGATACATTTTTCTAAAATTTAGGCTATTAGGACTTATATTTTTTATGATTATTATTTGTTTAATTAACAACTTAGGACAAAGAAAAAGCTTGCATGGTATCCACCGCCAACAGGCGTAAAAACAAATGAAGCCAAGGCGTTGCCAAATTGCCAAATATTTATTGGGATAAGTTTTTATTGTTTGAATATTGTTGTAAATAATAATTATCATTTAATTAGTGCTAACTTATCAAAGTTCACAACACGGCGAAATTTCAACAAAATCGGCCAACGGATCTTTGAGATATTAATAAAAAAAGGTCTATTAGAAAACACCTTGACACCCTGTAGGTATCTTTAAAATTATACATTTCCGGACATATGTTTATATGAACGAATCACCTCCTGAAGTTTGACCAGATACTTAATTAACACCCTGTATTTAAAAATGGCTAGCTAGTGATTTAGTAAGCTACGTTTATTTTAATGGGAAAAAATACATTTCATAAAAAATAAAAAAACTCATAATACAAATACTATACACTAATTAATTAATTTTAAATGTATCTAAATAGGCACTTTAATAATTGAAAAATGGACAGGAGCACTTAAAATCCCTTCATAGAATATACCAAATATGCAAAAAAACTCCAATAAAAAAACCACAAATGGCACATTAAAATCTGCATTATCTGAAATCAAACTATACCTAAACGGCTAATAAAATAATAGTGATAAGACTAAATAAAAGTGACAAGACGCCGACATCGATAACGCGATGAGCAGTTTTTAATAATTATTCCGAGTTATTATTACATAAGTTGTTTTACAATTATTGTAATATTTCCTTCAAATAAATTTTTATTTAAGTATTGTTAATATAGTCATATTAATGATTATAGCCCGTATGATATCTAAAATAAAAAAGCAAGCGTGTTTTTATCAGAATTATTAAATGATTAAGTAAAAATAGTTAATATTTATTAACTTCGTAAGTGTTATATTTTAATATAATTATGGATTTAATAATTAAATAATTATCTTAAGTTTAAATTGTGGTAAACCTGTATGAGTTTTAATCATTTATATTTAAAATTTTAGGGAAGACAATATAGATTTTAGGCAGGAGAACTCAAGGGAAGGACTCTGTAATTAGTAATTAAGACGTTACAATTTTTTTTACTTGCCATTTTTCTTGTTGTTCACGTTGCACTTTAACTCTTTGTTGTGTCATACACAATCTGAATTTCGGATATGATATAGAACTGATAAATTGGACCAAATATATTTATTGCAAGGTATGCAAAGATATATTTTTGTTAACTTCGCAAATACTTAAGGCATGCAATAATTTTAAAAAATTTGACGTGAGATTGCTTCATAATTCTTGGAAGTTTTGAATGATAAAGATTTGAATTATTATGGGTCTGTTTTATTTAAGAAGCTAACAAATAATTTCAAAAACTCAACTATCAAAATATAATGGTAGCAAATTTTTAAAAATATGCATAGGTATAATGTTCTATATTAATTGGACATACTGAATGTAAACTTTGTAAACCAAGTGTAGGGAAATTAAAACAACTTTGGGTGCACGTCATCAATGACACCATGCG